ATTAGGTTAAATGTTTTGAGTTTTATATGCATTTTACAAATAGTATAAATGATCTCCCGCGAAACAAAATCACTTGGTTGATATAAAATTTAATTTACTTTATATATGAAAAAAGTTTAGTTATCCAATTCCATACTTCAAAATTTCTAAATTCCAAAACCAAATAAGTCATTTGTGGTTTTGAAATAAACGAGTTCTTGAGCGAGTAATAATGTATTAAGGATACTCAAATTATTTCTCAAATGAGAAATGGCCCTACATTTGGGCTGAGACTAGTTCATTCTTGAATTTTCTTTTCATATATTTTGGGCCAAAATCTTGCTCTGAAACTGTTTGGGCATTAGCGTTTTGAGTTAAGAAGAGGTAGAGATTAGCAAGGGCCCAACAAAAAATTGACTGCGAACAGCCCAAACTAATTAAAAATAGTTTATGCTAAAAGAATTTGTTATCCCTTCCACCGAATTGATCAAGTTTTCATATGTATATCATGGAAATCTTGGTATCGAACTGCAATCACGTTTTTAATGGATTCTAAGCCCAGCCTATGTGTTTTTTCTTCTTCTTCTTTTTCTTTTTTTCTCTACCACATCTTTGTGTCGGCAAACAGAAATTTGTGTTTGTAATGATGTGCTAAATATGCTAAAACGAGGAGGAAGTGTGTTTCTTTTTTTTTTTTTCTTTTTCTTTTTTGCGATACAATATCCATCTTATCTATGCTGCACTGACACGACGCCGACATGTTAATTCTAAAAATTATCATATTTTGACACGTTGGGACACGTTTTGGTATTAAATAATATTTTAAATATATAATATAATTTATATTTAATACATATAACAGCCCATAATAAGTCATATGAACAATCAAATATTTAAATTTCATAACATAAATATAAACAAAAATAATTTTTCGTATCTTGTTAATTTTTTATGTCAAATTTTATAACAGAAAAAATTGATTTATAAATAATTTTTTTATGTTTAGTTAATAAAATAAAATAGGATACCAAAAAATAAATAAATAAATAAAATTTAGACCTAAAAAAAAATGTGTCAGAACGTTGACCGCGTGTCGAAAAAAATTGACTGCATGTCAGAAAAGCATGTCGGAGCGTTGATCACGTGTCCCAAAACATTGACCACGTGTTGAAGCGTGTCAGTCAGTGTCTGACACGTGTCCGACACGCACAAATTTTAAAAAAGTGTGTATTCGTCCTTGTTAGCATCTCATTAATAAGCAGTTAAATCAAACTCTTTTATGCCATGTGTAATTAATTTACAATTATTTAAAGGGTTTAAAGTTTCTAAAAATACTTTAGATAACTTTATCTAATTACGATCAAAATACACATAAAAAAGTGTGTGAGATCCTATGTTTTTCTTTTCTCCTTTTTCTCTTCATGTGGACTCACATATTTTTGCTTCTCTTTTATATGATACGCTGATATATTAATTCTAAAAAATACCATATTTCGATACGTTAGGAAACGTTTTGATATTAAATAATATTTTTAATATATATAATATAATTTATATTTAATACATACAGTAACCCATAATAAGTCATATAACCAATCAAATTTTCAAACTCCATAACATAAATATAAAGCAAAAATAATTTTTCATGTCAAATTTCGTAACAGAAAAAAATTGATTTATAAATGATATTTTCTTGTTTAGTTGATAAAATAAATTAAAATAAAATTTAGACCTAAATAAAACGTGTAGGATGCGTGTCGAAGCATTGACCAGGTGTCGGAAAAAGTTGACCGCGTGTCCCAAAATGTTGATCGCGTGTTGACCGCGTGTCAGAACGTGCCGGAGCGTGTCGATGTCTAACACATATCCGACATGCATTTTTTTTTAAAAGTGCGTGTTGGCGCTTTCCAGCTTACAACAATGTAAAAATAAAAAGTCTTGAACCCTTAGATATAAATAGGATAAACGATCAAGATTTAGAATTTAAGTTACATCGGTGTAAAATCATGCTTATATATATATATATATATATGTAGGGTTTTATGTTTATCATGTAACATGATATAACATCACTTTCCTACACACACATTAAAGAGGTGGGGTCCACATGTTTTTCTTTCTCTTTCATCATTCCACTTTCTCTCTCCATTTTTGTGTGTGTGTTGGAAACAACACTTAAATCATGTAACATAACACTAATAAAACCCATATATGTATATTAAAAATCTCAGTCATGCAACAACTAGGAATGGAGGAATCATTCTTAACTATCAGTAAAAACAAGTAATTTTGCTCAAATTTTAATAATAATAAAAACATTACAACAGCAACAAGATTGTTTGTTAAAGGATGTCACAAATAAGACATAGAAGAGTAAGTGTTCAAGATTCAGAAGAAAAACTAAAATTAGCTATTAATTTCCAAAAACAAAAAAAAAACTAAAATCATGTACCTTACATTATATTAAGGGTTCGTTTTTTCTACAGTCAATGTAGATAACTTATCTTATCCATGCGGTTATGCACCCTTCGAATAGAGGAATCCATTTTCTGAAAGATCCCGGCTTTCGTACTTTGGTGGGTTTTCGAGATCTTTTCGATGGCCTATGTTGTGTTGAAGGAATATCTATATGATCCGATCGATTGCGTAAAGCGCGCGGTAGCAACGGAACCGAGGAGAGTATATAGAAAAGACAGTTCTATTTCAGTTCTATTAGTATTAGATTAGTATTAGTTAGTGATCTCGGCTCAGCGAGTCCTTTCTTTCGTGATGAACTGTTGGCACCAGTCCAAAATCTTTTCTCTGTTGACCGAGGAGAAAGGGAGCTCAGCGGCAAGAGGATTGTAACATGATAGAAGTAAGGAGGTCAACCTCTTTCAAATATACAACATAGGTTCTGGCAATGCAATGTGGTTGAACTCTCATGTCGATCCGAATGAATCATCCTTTCCACGAAGGTAAATCTGTGCCCGCTGGGTAAGAGGATAGCAAGTTACAAATTATATCTTGGTAGGACATTTATTTTGATTACTATTCAATTGAAGTAGTTAACGGTGAGGTTACCATTCTAATCCTTTTTGTGGTGACGAATCTTGTATGTGTTCCTAAGAAAAGGAATTTGTCCATTTTTCGGGGTCTCGAAGGGGGGGGGGTGGAAACACATAAGAACTCTTGCATGGAAATAGAAAAATAGATGTAACTCCAGTTACTTCGGAAATGGTAAGATCTTTGGCGCAGGAACGCAAAAAGAGGGGTTGATCCGTATCATCTTGACTTGGTTCTGATTTCTCTATTTTTTTAAGAATTCCGAGTCGGGTTCTTCTCCTACCCATATCGAATAGAACATGCTGAGCCAAATCTATGGAAAACTTGCTTTGTTTAGATCAGAAAAATCGTACGTTTTTATGAAATCATATGCTATTGCTCGAATCCGTAGTCAATCCTATTTCCGATAGGAGTAGTTGACAATTGAATCCTGTTTTTCCCATTCTGTTCATATCCGTAATAGTGTGAAAAGAAGGTCCGACTCCAAGTTGTTTAAGAAGAATGGCGTTGAGTTTCTCGGCCCTTTGCCTTAGGATTAGTCAGTTCTATTTCTCGATGGGGGCAGGGGAAGGGATATAACTCAGCGGTAGAGTGTCACCTTGACGTGGTGGAAGTCATATACATTGAGATCAAAACGACGTTGTTTTGAGATGAAAATCACGTTATTTTTGTAATTATAATGTATTTCAGGGTTATAATAGTCTTTTTCATTATAATTTTTTAATTTTTAAACGCAAAATGATGTCGTTTTGGGAGCGAATGTAGATAACTTATCTACATTTACTTTAGAAACATTAAAGCCTTATATTAAACACATAAACAAAAGAGCTGAGACATTATCAATTAAAGTAAATGAATTTTAAATTTTTCTATTGATGGAGAAATGCTGATGCAAGAAAATTCTCTTTGACATATTATACTATTATCTATTTTTAGGGAACGACGATATTGCTTACTTATTTTATTTTTTTACCCTTATTCTCTTTTTGTCACCGTTCATTATATTTAAATCAAACCGTTCAAAGAAATAGAAACAAGAGATGTAATTAGTTGAGAAAAATAAAGGAGAGAAACAAAAAAAATAAAAAATTATTATATTTGAAACTATTGATTTAATTTTAATCAACGGTGATAAAAAAATAATAAGTGTAGGAAGACTAAATAGGTAGTCAATATAATCATTCCTTTTTTTTTTTTTGTTTGGGAGAAGATATTGCTTACTTATTTTATAAAACTATTGATTTAATTTTAATCAACGGTGATCGAAAAATAATAAGGGTAGGTAGACTAAACAGGTTATCTTATTGTCTTGATCTAGGCATATTAGCCTGTTTAAACCTATTAAACATTCAACAATTAAAAAAATAACTAAAATAATATTACTTTATTACTCAAAATTATTAAAATAATAATTTTATTTATTTTATTTAAAATAAATAATATGATATAAACCGATCTGTAGGCTTATAGGCCCGACATGTATAGAAAAGCTTATAACCTGTTTTTTAAATAATTTTTTTTAAAACTTAGGTCTGTTCTATTTTAGTATTTGTAATAGGTCAAGGGTGACCTAGTATAAGCTAGGCCGTAAGCTCCTGTAGTCCCGCCTAATCCATTTACACCCCTAGTTGGAATATTCAATTTATAAGTTCAAAGCAACTTATTTGTATTTCAAAATTTGTTTTAACAAGTTCTTCCAAACCGAATCAAAATGCTTCATGAATACTTATTTTGTAGATAAAAAATAAAAATAAAAATTTAGCTTGTAATATATAAGTGAAAGACAACAATATATGAAGAAGGAGAAAATCTAAGAAACAAGGGAACTGTCTACAAGGATCTAATTTCTAGAACTACTCAAGTTCCATATTGTAATTACTGACTATTTAGCACAACACCAAGGATATTATTAGAATCCAAGCCAATCATGCAGGGACAAAGGAACAAAGTCAATTAAATGAACTAAACAATTGTCGGTTGTGTTCCCTATGCCTTGCTTGGAAGTGTTGGGATACTTTGTTCATTCCAGAAAAAGTTTTCTGGATCAATTGCAGTCTTAACCTTCACCAACCTTTCAAAATTTTTGTTGAAGTACTTGATACCATAAACCTTCCCATCTTCATAGTTATTTAAACCATGACTATTGATACCAATATCAACGTCCCTGTAATTCAAGTAGGCACTCCTTGGATTCTTAGACACAAATGGGGTCATGTAACTGTATAGCATTCTAATCTGACCAATGAAATTCTTGTCTGCAACAGCTCCTTGTTCCTGCCAACTCACATGGTACTGAATTTTGTACAGATTCCCTGAACGGTGAGGAAAAGGTGTAGCATCAGAAGTAACCTCATTCATTTTTCCCCCATAAGGATTGAAAACAAGCCCAACATTTCCCAATTCAATCATTTTCTTCCATATCCATTTCAACCCATCTTTTGAAATTGGTGTCTTCACATAATCTGATTTCCTTTTGTTGGAATGCACTGAGTAATGGTTTCGGTCAAGCAGTGCATTCAGTGAGGAACCATCGTTATAATTAGCCCACCAAAGCACAGAATCAATCCACCTCATTTCCTTACAAATTTCCTTCTTTAGTCCCAGCAAAGGAAACTCCTTCTCCAACATTGTTACAAGTTCATCAGCCCCTCCAAGAAACAAAGCCACAACTGAGGCTCTAATGGTTTTCTGCTTCTTTATAACCTTAGAACTCACAGTCACAGGTTGCAAGAGCAGCCTCATGAAAAGCCTTTCATCTGTATGTGGAGCAACCTGCTGCCACTGGACAACAATATCAGTGGCATTCTGCTCCAAAGTGTTGTCAACTTGAAAAACTGTAACCTTTTCTGGTACTTGAACTAGCTTAACTGTGTATGATAATATGACTCCAAAACTTGCACCTCCCCCTCCTCTTATGGCCCAGAAAAGATCTTCCCCCATAGATTTCCTATTAAGAATCCTACCTTTGACATCAACAATTTTGGCATCAATAACATAATCAACAGATAGGCCATATTTTCTTAACATGTCACCATACCCTCCTCCACTCAAGTGGCCACCGACACCTACAGTTGGACAAACTCCTGCAGGGAACCCATGAATCTTACTCTTCTCCCAAATCCTGTAATAAACTTGTCCAAGACTTGCACCAGCTTGAACCACAGCAATCTCATTTTGTATATCCACAGTGACATTCTGAAAGCTGAACATGTCAAGGATAATAAAGGGCACCTCAGAGACATATGAAACACCATCAAAATCATGGCCCCCACTCCTGATTTTGAGCTGAACACCAATGCTTTTGGCACAAACCACTGCATCCTGTACTTGATGTTCATGCAGAGGGGTGAAAATAAGTAAAGGTTTTGGGGTGGAGGGGGTGTTGAACCGGGCATTTCGAACTAAGTTTCGAAGTAGAGAGTTGTAGGATGCATTTGTTGGGGCATAGACTATGTTGGAAACTTGATCTTGTTGGTTTGTGTGTCTTTTAAGACACTGAAGAAAAGTGCCATACGCGGACTCTCTTGATGGGGTTACCATAGAGTTAGAGACATGAAGAAGAAGAACAATAATGGATAGAAATGGCAGAGGATTTGATTTTTCCATTGGTTCAAATCATGGAAAAATTAGTAAAGGGTTGGTATGGTTTGATACAGAAGAAGACACATTGGACCACACATATTATGCCTTCCTTAATGACACTGTCTAATAATTGAGCTCTGCTGTCATCAACCAAAGTAATGATATTTACCTTTACCTTTTTCATATTGTTCCAATGTTATCTTATAATTTAATAATGCGACATTGCGTGTCGGTATTTTTCCTACACTTAACATGCGATCAATTTCCAAATGTATTGGTGTACTTCGTGCGCATGGCTAACATGCATTTATCTCACCACACGTTTGCATTTCAAAGCAAAATATAAAAAATAAACAAAAAATAAAGCAAAACAAAAACAATAAAAACACCAAACATCGATAAACAAATTTTAACCACAAAAATGATAAAAAATTTCCCCAGGGGACTTGCATATATAATTCATTTTTTAAACTATGAACTCTGTTTCTTTCTTTAAGAATATGGTTCGCTTACTATCCTAACCAACTCTTATAGTTACTTATTAAATACATAAAAAAATAAACAAATAAAAAATTAGAAGATGAACCAAAAAATGTTGACTGTTTAGTATACTTGAGAAAACATTTTACAGGCTGTAGTATATATATTAGTGGGAGTTGATTTGTGCTCCAATATATTTCATAAGCAATTTAACTTATACCCATTATATTTTGGATGTGCCTATTGATTGTATATTTTTGGTTGAGTGATGATCATTATGTGTAGTGGTGCTTTAATGGGTGCTTACAAAGTCAATGGATTTCTTTAAATTCTTTGAAACTTGTTTGTAAAGAACTCATAATCCTTGATCATTACTGAATGTGTGATGTAGATAAATGCAAGTGTTGAATTTAATTTGAAATACATTTGATTGTCTCGTCATTGACTCAATGTTGACTATCTAAAAGAGAATGACTTGTTAAAGTTATGAGACTTGTCTTGCTTGGGTGTTGTTTTCTTTTCTTCCTATACTGCTATATCATGACTCATGTCAATGGTTTTAATGATGTTTTATATCATGGAAGGTCTCGCATCGCATAACAGATGCAATTCCTCCTAGTTAACTTGGTTGATTACTAATTAGTGATGATAAAAAATTGTTTAAGGATTATATATTTCGTAAATCATGACCATGTATAATCTGACTAGTTTTCATCTACACTTCCAATATATACTTTCTGTTATTGAGATACAACCAATTAAACAGCATGAAAAAAATAGAAACTGAACATGTACAATGTGACAAAATTCTTTGCAAAGACAGCTTACTTTCATATTTTAGCCAATTAAACAGCAAAATTTAGTTTATTGATATGAAATTTCTATCTACATCTTTTCTTTCCAGGGAAAAAACAAAACAACCCAACTATTGTCCATGTATGATTACAATAATCTTGTGAACAATTCAAGGATAAGCAACCATACCATCTTTACCATCAGTTCCCTATATAGGCTGGAGTATAACAATTTGCCAGCACCAGATTTACTGGCACCAGTGTCCAATCCTGCAATCAGTGAAGGAAAGGCATTCAAACATGAATCCTGCAACCTATATTTTGTGTTAGAAGAGATTACATTATTAAGATGTAAATAAAAAAAGTGATTAATTAGTTCTCTTCTGTTTTCTAGAAGTACATTACAGGTAGAAATAGCATCACTGATTTATCTGTATTTGATTTTATTTGCTTTGACCAAAGAGAACTGATATATAGCAATAGTAAATTGGAATAATGAACTTACAATTCCAGCTATTCCATGTGCCAAATTGATTAGGTGAGAAACACCCGCATACCCACAAAGGCATTACTTCCTATTGACTCCTGATCTCATTCAGGACATAATTCATGGTTGTGAAAAATGCAACAAGTTCAAGCTTATGCATGGCATAATTGGAAAAGATTAAAAAAGGTTAAGAAAACAAAAATGAAAGACAAGAGTCAAATGTATTTTCTGTAAAAAAAGTTTTAGCCTCACCCAACAGCTTAAGCTTTTGGATTGAATTGGTTCTTTACATTTTCCACCATATTTCCAGTCTTACTAACTGACCCCAAAACTTTTCCAGCTCAAAACAACCAAATAAAATGTCATATCTCCATTATGAAGAATAGAATAAAGAAAACAAGAGCTGTAAAAGCAGCTTGCATGGATAGTTGGTTTCTAAACTATATATTTTCTAATTGATGCACTAATAACGTTCACCTAATATAAATAATTCCAATGATTGGATGCTTCATGAGCTTACATGTTTATAATGAACAAAATCATATGAAATAGTACAACAATATAGATAATAAATAGGAGTGCTCAAGGATCTATTCCAGAAAATCGCACATAAAAAATTCAGAGAGACAGGAATACTATATTTTACATTGAACATGATTGATAATTTCTACCAACGCCCAGTGCAACTGACATTCACATTAGCAGGAAATGAAGTAATGCAATTTCTTGAATTACTCAAAATCCATACTATTATTATCAAATTATTTACCAAAAAACTAAGAACTATTAGGCCAATCAATCAATAACAAAGGAAAAAACATACGCATTAATTTAATAATCAGTTTCATTATTTGATTCTCAGTTACTTACCTGGATGAGTTGGAACACTCTGTTCATTCCTGAAAAAGTTTTCTGGATCAACTTCAGTCTTGATCTTGACCAACCTCTCAAAATTGTCATTGAAGTACTTGACTCCATAAACAACTCCTTCTTCATAGCTATTCTTTCCAAAATTGTTGGTACCAATATCAAGGTCCCTGTAATTTAAGAAGGCACTTCTTGGATTACTGGACACAAATGGGGTCATGTAACTATACAGCCTTCTAGCCTGACTTGTAAAATTATTTTCAAATGCTTCTCCTGGTTCGTCCCAATTCACCGAGTACTGAATCTTGAACAGATTCCCTGCACGGTGAGGAAATGCAGTAACATCAGATGGAATCTCACTCATTTTTCCTCCATAAGGATTGAAAACAAATCCTGTCTTTCTCAACTCAATCATCTTCTTCCATATCCCTTCCAACCCATCTTTTGAAATTGGCTTCTGCACATAATCAGATTTCCTCTTGAGGAAACTTGCATTGTTGATATTCCTCTCAAGAAGGGCATCTGGTTTTGTATCATTGTCAAAATTACCCCACCAAAGCACAGAATCAATCCAACTCATTTCAGAACAATTTCCCTTATTCAAACCAAGAGCAGGAAACTCCTTCCCCAACAGTGTGACAACTTCATCAGCCCCTCCAAGAAACAAAGCCATAACAGTGGCTCTAATGGTTTTCTGCCCCTTCACAACCTTAGAACTCACAGGCTGCAAGAGCAGCCTCATGAAAAGCCTATCATCAGTATGTGGAGCAACCTGTTGCCACTGCAAGACAAGCTCAGTGGCATTCTCTTCCAAAGCCTTTGCAACCTGAAAAACAGTAACCTTTTCTGGTACTTGAACTAGCTTAACTGTGTAAGATAATATGACACCAAAACTTGCTCCTCCCCCTCCTCTAATGGCCCAGAAAAGCTCTTCCCCCATAGATTCCCTATTAAGAATCCTACCATTGACATCAACAATTTGAGCATCAATAACATTATCAATAGATAGCCCATATTTTCTCATCATATTACCATACCCTCCTCCACTTAAATGTCCACCAACACCAACAGTAGGACACACCCCTGAAGGAAAGCCATGAACTTTACTCTTCTCCCAAATCCTGTAATAAACCTCTCCAAGCGTGGCACCAGCTTGAACCACAGCAACCTCGCTTTGTATATCCACACTGATATTCCGGAGATGGAACATGTCAAGGATAATGAAGGGTTGATTGGAGACATATGAGATACCCTCAAAGTCATGGCCACCACTTCTGATTTTGAGTTGAATCCCAATGCTTTTGGTGCAAATCACAGCACCCTGAACGTGAGAGTGTTCCAAGGGAGTGACAATAATTAAGGGTTTTGGAGTTGTGGTGGTGTTGAATCTTGCATTACGAATATAGGCTTGGAGAAGAGAGGAAAAGGAAGGGTTGGTTTGAGCAAAGAGTATTTGGTCTGAAAGTTTTGTGTAGTTTGTTAGGCACTTGAGGAAAGGGCCATACACTGATTCTGGTGTTGGGGATGCTAACAAAGCAGAGACATGAAGAAGAAAAAGAAAAAGGAGAAAAAAAATCCCAGAAAAATTGGTCAAAGTAGTTGGTTTTCCCATTGGGTTTGTTGATTTGATGTACACTTAGAAACTTGAAAGCACCAAACGTTTGACGAAAACTAAGACTGGTCAATGTGCAATTGGTAAGTGATGTGTCTTGTCCCTGTTTGAAGTAGATTTTTTTATTAAGTCATTTCTCAGATATTAGTCAGTTCACCTTGGTCTTCAGATTCGAGATCAACTAATATTTGAATTAAAATATATTTGGTCCATGAGTCAAGTGATAGTGGATTCTTTGCAAGTCATTGGGAGTATAACTCGTATTTTCTATGCATCATTATCACTTTGATAAAAATATTTTATTTTATAAGCATTGTAATTTGCTGGTGTTTGTCGAATGTTCCATGTGAATATGTGAGAGTTCTCGTTACACATGTACAACTTTAAACCTGGAATAGCTTATATCCAAAATAATAATAATTTAACATCAACAAGCTTGATGTGGGACTTGTTTGTGGGTGACTGACAAATCACACTGCATGTATACGTTTTATTGTGTACAAAAACTTATCTTATTTCAATGCATGATTTAACATTTTATTACTAAATTTTAAACCGCAACTAAGTAATATGTAAAATAAATAATAATTTCTATCTAAATTAATTAAAAATTTAACGTTAACACTTGACAAAAATTGACAGAGTTTAAGTTCGACGAAAAAATGTATATTTTATTTTGTAAAAAGTATTCAAAGCATAAGAACATCATTTTGGGGCTTCTCTTTTCTTTTTCTTTTTCTTTTTTTGAGTAAATTCTCTGATTAATTTTTTTAAAAAATTGTCTATAGACACATTATATGATAATGCAAAAATCTTATTCTAATCCTTAATGAACCACAAATATTAACTAGATTAATTCTTCTTATGAATTATTGTGTTTTGTGCTTAAAAACTAATATAACCGGTAATAATAATTCTTTTAACTACTATAACTATAACTATAACTATATATATATATATATATATATATAGGGAAATGATATTGTAACAATCAAGTTGTGTTACTACTATGTTACTACCAATCAATCTCATCGTTAGATCGATTATGTTGATCCAACGGTTATATTATTTTCATCTTTGTATGGTCATGATTCCCCATATTTAAAGTGAAAGCATTAAATATGAAAAATCATAATCATGCAAAAGTGGAATTTGTAGAACAATAAATTAAGAGAATATGACATATGCCATTTCAATATAGATGAATTTGAAAAATATGAGTTTACAACATCTGTCCTTTTCAAGGTCATTAAAAGGTATGCTTACGAGGATTTTGAGTTGCAATTTAAATTGACATAGTAATAGTTTGCATTTTTATTTATTTGTACTTTATAAATTTGTAAAAATGTGATTGAGTAATTTTTTAACTTATTTAATGAACCTTATTTAATTTATTTTAGATATGAAGAATATAATTAAATTTATATATTTTTATATATATTCGGATCAACTAGTCCAAACAATAACCCAATACCACAACCGAATCATCGATACGCATTTAATAACACTGTTTCTACCCCTCTTGCTGCAAAGGTCAATTGTGAACACTTCGCCACTTTCAAAGTCCAAAGAAGACTTTAACGCAACTTATGGTCCTATGATTAATGCATTCTTTGAAAAAAAACTTATTGATTTCAAGTAATAATATAAAACTTAAGAAAGATTTTCTTTGTAAATCTATACTGTCAATTGGAATGGAACTTTTGTAACGAAAATCTCACGTGGGACCCACAGTATATGATTAGGTGCCGAAAGTAAATAATTATGTCAGGACAGCTAAAACAAATTTACACTACAATAACTTTAATCATAAATGTTGTAGAATATGTCAGGACTCAGGAATCTAACGGTTCCTGTAACCTGAAGTGTATCAGTAACTGGTTCCAAACACAGTTTTTCTAACCACATAATCAAATTTATTACACAGAAAAAAGTGTAGGGATACTAAACACAGTTTTTCTAGTCACATAATCAAACAGAAAAATTTCACAGCCATCACTCAGGCAGAAAATTTTGTGTGAGAGGGCGAGGAATTCAAAATTTGTATTAAATTAGGCAGCAATACACAGTAATTGATCGATACATAATCAATCAGATTTAAAGAACTCCAAGTATTTTTCATACATCAGGAAACAATAAGGATGAAAGGGGCGAATTTATATTACATTACCTTTCTTTTAAATATGAATGTAGCTTAAGATAAAGGCTCCTGACCCTATCACTTGCGATATGGCACCTTAGGGATGCTTTGTTCGTTCCTGAAGAAATTGCCATGATCAACCAGAGTTTTGATTCGAACCAACTTGTTGAAGTTCTCCTTAAAATACTCGACTCCATAAACTCTGCCTTCACAGTAGCCGTTCTTACCATTATGGTTGATACCCAAATCAAGATCCTTATAATTTAAGAAAGCCTCTCTAAGGTTCTTGGAGACAAAAGAAGTCATGAATTTATGAAGTTTTCTTGTCAAGTTTATGTAGTGATCTGCTACCTCTTTCCATGGTTGATTCCAATTTGCTTGGTATTGGACCTTCCAAAGGTTCCCTGCTCGATGAGGGAAAGGAGTGGTTGACAGGCTGTAGACGAAACCTCATCCATTTCTCCAACATAAGGATTGAAATATAGTATTGCATCCACCTATTTTATCATCTTCTTCCAAATCCCTTCCAAACCCTCTTTGGAAATTGGAAAAACCAATTCCAAAGCTGCCGAGTGACTGCTAAATGCAAAAAGGATGAGTAATTGGTTCTGAATTGCAAAAAACGCATTAACAAAAATATAATGAGAAATAACTGTGTAGCCTATGAGTTTGCAACAAATCATTTGTATTAATCCTACTAAGTATAGCCTCTAAACAAAGTCTTCACCTTAGAAAGAGCCTTAGCCTGCCAAAAGGACTTAAATATTGAAATTTTCTGGACAGTTAGACTTTTGATCTATGAAGCACTGATACGGCGTTCTCGATGATACAGGATGTCGATTACCATACAATACGTGTCTGATACGTTTCCGATTACGTTGGAAAAAAAATTAAAGAGTATCGGTGCTTCATTGCTTCTGATCATAAGTTGCAAGAAAAATATTTACATACATAAGAACCAGAAGGATCTTCGAAATATTTTCATCAAAGGTGAACGTAGTTCATATTCAAGTCCATAAAGATGCAATAATTTTCTCTAATTTTAGAGACAGAAGTAGAATGTGAGTTGTAAGATTTTCGTAATTGTCATTGAGCTGGGTCTTGTTTCGATAATTTTAAGGTTATTTTCCCTACGTATCTTATATCAGTAAAGACTACCATATAAGCAGGGATAGGATTAGATCTATTAATTAGGGTTAGGATTTGCTTTTAATTAGGGCTTCTATGCAAATGGCTGTAACTGGGATAATTCAGGTTTTTGTTTAAGTTGAAGACCAGCCCTCTTTGGTAGGGTCCTAGATCTCCTTGCCCATTCCTTCCCTCCCTGATGTTATTGACAACTTCAGATTTAACCCTAGTTAGCTAGTCCTCTTATCCTAATCATGAAATTTAAAATACAAAGATATTGACAAATGTATTGATTCATTAACAGTTAGGGTCAGGATCTCCATAAAAAAAAGTTAAGCAAATAAAGTGTTGAGATATATAAAACCATTAATGTAGCCTCACCCAACAGCTTAAGCTTTTGGGTTGAATTGGTTCTTAATATAAGCTGTTGGGTGAGGCTACATTAATGGTTTTATATATCTCAACAAAAAGAAATGAAAAAGAATAAGCTTACTTGACATATTAACTAACAGTAATGCCACTGCTGTAAGCTTTATTCTCCTATAAATATTAGCTGATTGTAGGTTTAACAATGCTACCTTGAGCCCAATGGCAATAATAGATTCAGTCTTGATCTTATATGCCTCTCATCTGCTACCAATAGTCACCACATGAGCAGACCCCATCTCGGAAATGATGGTACCGGATAGGGTCTCTAATTACAATGTGTCGCTGCTCTAACTTTGCTATAAGTTTTGCGAATATATGACAATCTCCACAGATCCTTAGGTTCTTCCATATTCTAATAGTTTTCTCCCTTGGAAAGCTTATGATACCAAAAACAATTGCCAGTTTCTCACTGTGGTATCGAAGGGAGTCTTCTCTCTGTTCCCCTTCTAGATCTTGTAGTACAAAATTTGTGTCAGGCACATAACCAGCATCAGCTAGTTTACAAATATAATGGTTCAACTGTCTATTGATCTCATCCATTTGAGGATGTGATTTATCTCCTAAAATAAAAGCATGTATTTGCTTATTGACTTCAATCCAGCTACATCCTGGTTCTTTCCTTAAGCCTCTTACCTTCATAGTCCTCCGAACTTCTGCAACATCATTCCACCTTTTAGAATTTGCATAAATATTAGATAACAATACATAGGCTCCTATGTCCTGTGGATCCAACTTTAGAATCTCCTTAGCAGCATATGTGGCTAAATCCAAATTCTGATGGGCCCTGCATGAATCAAGCAAAGTCCTCCACGTCACAATATCGGGCTCACAATTCATTTCATGAATTAACTTAACCATGTCATCAAGCTTCCCAGATCTTCCAAGAAGATCAAGCATGCAGCCATAGTGTTCTCTTCCAGGATCTATCCCATAAAGTTTCTTCATGGACCGAAAATAACACCAACCTTCATTTACTAGCCCTGCATGACTACAAGCAAATAGAACCCCAAGAATTGTGATGTAGTTTGGTTTTGGCCCCAGGACTTTCATGGAATCAAATAAATTGAGTGCCTCCATGCTGAAACCATTTTGGGCTAACCCAGCAATCATGGTGCTCCAGGAGATTACATCCTTATCGGCCATCCGATTGAAAATGAACTTTGCATCTTCCAAACTACCACACTTACAATACATATCTAAAAGTGCATTGTTAAGGATAAGATCTTGGTCAAACTTCAGCACATGAACATGAACCTGCCTCCCTAACTCTAACAATGACAAACTAGTACAAGCTCTCAGAACACTCGTAAGTGTTGACTGATCGGCTGGAAAGCCTGTTCTCCTCATGCTCTTGTAGAGGTTTAAAGCTTCATCCCCATCACTGTGCTGAGCAAAAGCAGCAATAATGGAGTTCCAAACAACAGAGTCTCCAGTCACCATCTCACGAAAAACATTTAGAGCTTCCAACAACTCACCCAATTTGGAGTAAACATCGATAAGCGCACTCCGGACAAAGACATCAGACTCCAACCCCACTTTCATTATGCTAGAATGGAGCTGTTTGAGATCAGATAACATCTCACAGGCTCTCAGAACAGAAGAGAAAGTAAACATGTTAGGCATGACACCTTCCCTAAGCATAAGAATCAAAAACTTCATAGCCCTATCATTGAGCTTAGCAGAAGAGTAAGCAGATATCATAGTTGTCCACGAAATAACATTTCGTTCAGGCATTTTATCAAACAGTATCTGTGCTTCTTCCAAGAGGTTGAATTTCACATACATATTGAGGAGAGTGTTGATCAAGAACGTTTTTGGCTGGTACCCATTTGAGAATATGTGTTGATGAACGCGCTTCCCTTCCCTGACAGCCCCATGAGCCAAACAACACTTGATGAGCTCAGAATACGTGATAGCATCGGCAAAGACCCCACGTCTTTCCATGGCATCCAAAGCATGCATGGCTCTGGGAAGGTCTCTTTGGTTGGCGAAATCATTTAGTAGTGACCAAGTTTCTGCGGGCACGCTGCGTGGCGCTGCAAGAGATGACGAGCGACGATATGAACAACAAAGCGAGTAAGCTGTTCGCAAGTGCTTTGAAACACCTTTCATGGGTTCGGTTCGCTAGTTAGTTGCTTGGCTTTTCTCACGAGATATCGTATATTATTAACAAGGAAAGTTATATTTATAAATTTTTACAAATTATTAAATATGATCGGTCATATTTCAATAAAAAATGTATGACTTGTCATATTTAATGTAATTAAAAAAAGTTTTGTAAATGGATCTTTTCCTTATTAATAAACCATTGCTTTTTTTTTTTTTTTTTTTTTTGTAAATAACCATGGCTTTAACTTTGCAACTCCGTACATAATATTGGATAAGGCCTCATACTATAAGACATAATAGTATAAGGTTTGATTGAATTTTAATACTATCCGGCGTTTGGCAAGGTATTGTATAAAATAATATATTGTATAAGATTATATCATCTAGTATTTGGTAATGCACTGTATAATATTATATATGATAAAAATATATTTTTAATAAAAATATCCTTTAATAAAGAATTTATATAATTCTTCAAAAAATGTCATATGATATTAATTTTTATAAAAATTTATTGATCAGTGTGTCCAAAATATAAATTAATTTTTATAAAAAATAAAAATATTCAATATTTTAAAATTAATATATTAAAATTTTAATTTTAATTTTAATAGATTAATATTAAAATAATATATTAATTTTTAAGAATTACATTGGTCAACGATGTTAATACATCAATCTCTTATCAGGCCTTATCCCTCACCTTTAGGCCGGAGTAAGTTATACATCGTTTTGATGTATCAAGAGATTATGCTGTATAAGCTTATACTATACGATGATTACACCAAACAACTGAAAATGTCATAACGTAAAGTATAAGCTTATACTATCATGCCTTATACGTCACACCAAACAGGCCCTAATATAAACTAAATTGTTTTTAGGTTTAAAGTTTTTCGTGAAATAAAATTTTCTCCCGCACATATAAGAATGTGTAGTGCCTATTTTTTTTTTTTTTTTCTCTTTTATATCACTTCCATAAACTCTATTTTATTTCTTACAGAGAAATTTTAAACATGTTTATTATTTTCTAAAAATAATTATGGTGGGCTAATAACTGGATGAAAAGAACAGAACACCTACTGTGAAATTTACTGAAGAAAGTGAGAGAAATAAAGAAAGAAAATGATAGAATAAAGGTTGGTTCAATTGATATGATCAAAACACAATTGTTTTTTATGTATCAGTGAGTCATCTGTAAATACCACAAGTTGTGATAAATCCTTATTTTGGAACAAGACAATCTTCTATCTCCTTAGACTTTTATTAATTTTTTAAATAATAAAAAAAATGAAAGAAAGGGAATAAACTTGTCTTCAGAAAAACAGTAAAAATTTTGTCTGAAACTTTCAATAAATTGAATTAGACTATCACTATTCTTAAGAAGCGTCGTCCATGCTGCTTAGCTTACAACTTAAAAAAGCTTACATTACAACTGAAATTAACATAATCCCTTAATCAGGGGAAAATATAATTGCATAGCAAATAATTCCCTAACCAATCAAATTTTATGACAATCTTCTATTTGGTTCTGATATGAACCAATACACACATGATTGCTTTTCTAGGACATTGGCATGCTTCTAGATACCTCTTGACCCCAAGCTGACCTTTGTTAGACACCTTTTGATGGCTTCTTCTATTGTGACATCATACCTGTCCAAGATGCAAGTGATGGGATACTTTGTTCATATCTGAAAAAATTGCTTGGATCTACCATGGTCTTTACCTCTACCAGTTTATCAAAGTTTCTTTTGAAATACTTGTAGCCCCAAGTACTAGCTTCTGCATAACTAGCATTTCCAGCTCCATTGACACCTACATCAACGTCTCTATAGTTCAGATATGAACTTCTAGGTGACTTTGACACATAAGGGGTCATGTAATCATAGAGCTTTCGAATCAGACCTAAATATCGATTTGCAACATCATTACCCTCAACTTTCCAATTCACTGAGTACTGAATTTTATATATGTTACCAGCTCTGTGTGGAAAAGGTGTTTCCACCTCAGAAATCTGACTCATTTTCCCACCATAAGGATTGAATGTCAGAGCAGGTTTTCCTAGTTCCATCACCTTCTTCCATATACCTTCAAGGTCAACTTTGGAAATGGGCTGCTGCACATAATCTGATTTCCTCTTCAAGAATTTCTCTGGTGAAGGATGCCTTTCAAGCAAAACATCAATTGAAGTCCCCACAGGATAGTTATACCAAAACAACACAGAATCTATCCAACTCATCTCAATGCACTGTTCACCAATCAAACCCAGTTCAGGGAATCTCTCACTCATTATATCAAGCAGCTGTTCTGCATTTCCAAGAAACAAAGCATTGAATTTGGCCCTTATTGTCTTCTGACCCTTTCTCTTCACAGGACTAAGAACCACTCTAATAAATAGCCCATCGTGTATCTTATCAGCAACATATTGCCATTGATGAACAATATCTGTGGCACCTTGTTCCAATGTTTTTTCAACTCTAAAAACTGTCACAATCTCTGGTACAAGAACCAATTTGATTTTCCATGAAACTATGACCCCAAAACTAGCACCCCCACCTCCTCTAATAGCCCAGAAAAGATCTTCCCCCATTGATTTCCTATCCAAAATTCTTCCATTAGCATCCACAATTTGAGCATCCAAAACATTATCCACAGAGAGTCCAAATCTTCTCATCAAATTCCCATAACCTCCTCCACTGAAGTGGCCTCCAACACCTACAGTGGGGCACACCCCAGCAGGGAAGCCATGGATCTTGCTCTTCTCAGCAATCCTATAAAAAAGTTCACCAATTGTTGCACCTGAGTCAACCCACACAGTCTCATCTTCTAAATTAACCAACACTGATCTGAGCATGAACATGTCAAGAATAATGAATGGGGCTTCTGATACATATGAAAGGCCATCATAGTCATGACCCCCACTTCTTATTCTCATTTCAAGCTCAAACCTTTTGCAGCATATGATTGATGCTTGGATGTGGGAAACATGAGTTGGGGTCACAATGAATGATGGTTTTGGAGTTGTGGATGAGTTGAATCTCAGGTTTCTGATATAGGATTCCAATATGGGTGGGTATGAAGGGTTGTTGGGGAAATAGGTGACTGTAGAGATTGGATGAGAAGGTTCAGAATAGAGAGATAGGCACTGCAGAAAGGTATGTTGAAGAGGATCTGAGGCTGCCATTAGAAAGAGTTGAAGGATTAAGACAAGAGGTAGAATTGCACGAGTGGTAGACATCAATATGCGCTTGATTCACAAGTTTCCTTAGTTCAGTTGTTCTGTGAATATTGTCACAGATACTTATGAAACAAGGTTTCTGCTAAGGTATGTAACAAAAAGGTTTCTGCTAAGGTTTTCCCTATCTTCGAAGGAAAAGTTTATACTTCATGGGAAAAGTGTATGTCATTCTAAAGGATTGAAGGATTGACCAATCACAAGTTTATAGTTTATAGTTTACAATTGACCATCCTTGAAATAGTGGTAATAATGCACGTTTTCCAGCTTGGCAGAAGGATTGAAGAAGCGCACCTGCTCTATTACATTTACGAAGGTTGCTTCCGCTTTCTTCTCAAATAAATCCCGATACCTCTTCACCTCACCGGTCAAGAATGCCTTCTCTTCGGCCCAGGTACCAGCGTTTCCTTCCAGTTCCAAGATACGCTTGGATAGATCAGTCTTTTCTGCTTCCAATCCCTTATTGAAGGTTGTCAGGGCCTTCAGGGCGCCATCCTTCTTCGCCATAGACGTTTTCAGTGTAGATACTTCCTCTTCAGATTTCTTCAATTTAGCCTCAAGGTCAGCGCGTTGTTGAGCACTTTCACCCTTCAGCGCCTCAATTTGCACCTTCAGGAAGTCCACTGAGCCTGTTACATGTTAAAGAGCAGTAAGTATATACGCAATATCATATCATATAAACAAAGAAATATCAAGGTAATTACCAGGTGCATACATAAGGAATTGACCCGCTATGGTCAAGCTCTGGGACATCTGCAACCATTGGTCTTGCGGCAGCGCTTCCAGACGAGCGCCAAACTCTATGCCTTGAGCGCGAATATCTTGGTCCAACTTCCAGCCAAAGTCTGGCCACTCTGTAGAAGATCCCCCAGTCATCTCCTCCAGGGATCTTTTCTTACCCCCTGCGGTATCTTCCACCACTACCACAGGAGGGATGACATTTAACGGGGCGGTAGGAGGGGTTAAGGACTCCATTGGAGACTTCAACCGCGTAGCAGCATGCTCGCTTGTTTCTGCAACAGCAGCAACTGCAGACACAGACGGTTGGGGAGATCTCGAAGCACCTGCAATAGCTGTAGCACGATTGACAGCAATCCTTTCCATTTTACTTAACGATGCCGTCATCGAGCTATCTGCAAACCAGAACAAAGAAATTCATGATTAAAGATATTTCCAACATACCTACACATTGCGGTATACTCAGATACTTTGATTAAAACATTTACAAAGTAAATAAGGGTCTAAGTTACCCAGATAAGCTCGAATATCATCATCGGAATACTCATTCAAAATCGTGTACGTGCTCAGCGAGCCCGTATCAGAAGCTTCCCGAGAAATGTTACCTAAAATGGTCACTGTCTTCTGTTCTACATCACTCAAATCAGTAAAATTATAGCCCAGGACAGCGCTTTCAGTTGAATATTCTGACCAATATAACGAAAAGCTAGGAGTCTCATCATCGCCTATGCAAAAAGGGTTTGGTACCTTCGGCAGGGTAAATCTTGAAGTATTCTGCGCTCTACTTGTTAATCTTTCGTGAATATGACTCGCAGATTTTCACTTTACTCCTAAATGATATCCAGCTATTGCGAGGTCCCATTACACTAAACATGTACAAGAACGATTGCACAGATTTGAACAGACCGTAGGCATTGCAAACTATCTCGTACATTCTGATAAAACCCCAAGCGTTGGGGGTCAGCTGTGAAGGCGCCACATTCAAATGCGCCAAGAGTTTACAAACAAAAGGTGAAAAGTGCAACCGAACACCTATGGACAGAAAAAAGAATGAGTACATCATCATGTAATGCCTGGTTGATCCTTCGGCCCGCGATGAACAAACGCGCTCATTCTTCGAGACAACACCAATTTCCCATTGGTCATTAAAAGCTTTGTTGGGGGTCAGGTGGAGAGCTGATGTTACTTCAGCCAACTCTCCTGAGGAGCAAAACACAGACTCAGTATCCAACACTGTGTCTGCCACCCAACTAAGGGTGCCTTCGTCCCGTAGATTCCGGTTAGCTGGGGACTCATCATCGGGGTCAAGGCGTAGGATTTTCTTCTTCGTGTCAGATTGCAATTTTTGTTTTTTCTTCTCATGAGCACTGCGTCTTGCCATTATCTCTCTGATCTTAGGGGACACAAAATCTGATTCAGAAGAGGAAGAAGAATCAGTGGAAGAAGGCAAGTTAGAAGAAATAGGCGTATAGTTATCAAAATTCCTTTTCTTAAAACGATACCCGGCTGGATAAACAACATTTAACGGTAAAGGACTAGGGCTCTTTTGACCTAAAGATTCATGCGCGATAGAACAAGGAGAATCGCGCGACGAGCTTGAAGAGGACGATTTAGGGCTCTTTGACTCAACTGATTTATAGCTATTTGCAGTGCTCGAAGAAGAATCACTCGATAGCACAATGGGCTTTGACATGTTCAAAGAAACTTGGGGAAACACAGCGAGCTATGTTCTGACAATGTCTTTGCGCGATTAGGATGTCGCGAAGATGACCCTAACTTAAACTTACGAATTGAGAGGACATGCCTAGCATAAGCTTTGTAGTAGGGGGCTAAAATTCCTACAGTAGGCCTCTTGTCACTGGTTCCCAAAGACCTTGATCTTGGCAACAATCCCGAAGGAGGACTGGACGAACCAGACCGTTCACAAAGTCTGATAAAATCCGCACATTTGCGATTATCAGACATGCTTCACACAGAAAGAAGGAAAAATACTGAACCAGATGAAAGAAACACAGAAAAGATCAGATGGAAGGAGGAACAACATACCTGAGCTTTATACTTCGGAACTTCACACTATAAACGGGACGTGTCACCACCGGAAATGCAGAAGAAAGCACTGAGAGATGAGAGATTTTTTACAAAATCACCGAAATGATTTTTCCCTCCAAGACTCAGCACAAATATGAAAGGTTTCTCACCAACGGATAGACCGAAAGCCACAAGACGTGTTAAACAAGACGGGTTCTAAGGGACAGGTGGCAGGTAGGGGAAGCGTTTTACTTACAAAAATCACCCACACCTGTACTTAAACTCCCACGTAATCACAACAACATTTAATGCTCTTGATTGATTAGACGTTTAATCCACCGTTTTTTAAGCGGTAGAAAGTCATGATGATACTATCCGGCACAATTACCGCGGCACACAAAAAAGGGACATATGAATGATATGCTATCGCGTCTCGAGCAAAAATAGCTCACGGCCTTACCAAATGACAGCACCGCAAGCTAGGGGGCAACTGATCCGGATAAAATATAGGCCCAATCAAAGCCCCATAAGGAAAGCCCAAGCCCTTCCGAAGCACAAGGAACAAGCATTGACGCGATGCCCACATCGCGGCGTACGATATCCCCATCGCGACATACAGGACGCGATGGTCTCATCGCGGCACACAAGACTCGATTCTCATATCGCGTATGAAACCTTTTAAGAGAGGTAAACGTAAGGCTCAAGGTAACTCCACCGCGCTTTAGTTCCAGTAAACAACGAAAAGCTCCAGCTTGCCTCAAATCTACTACTAGACCCTCTAGACGATAAGGCTACACAGGTCCCCTAAATAACCTGCAGCCCAAGGCTGGCCACTCAGAAGCCAAGCCGCCTTAACTAAGGCGACATCCCAGTTACTATATAAACACACGATATACCACCAAGGTACGATCATCCTTTACTTTAACAACAGAACACACCTGCCTCTGATACTAACTTAAGTATCAGAGTGTCTTCGCAGGTACTCCCCCCCATTCAATGCAACGTGCTAACATGAAGGACAAAACTCAAGATCATTCCGACAGCAATACTAGGCCCAGGCCAACATCGACGTAAGGTGATTCATCCGTGTGTGATTGGGCTCAATACATATAAGCCAGTCCATATTGTATTTGGTCGAATCAAATAGTATTATAAGCTAATCAAAATTGATTTTGCAAGATTTTTTCCCTTTAGGATTAGTAGCAAATCCCCTGAGAATTTAGAAAGCACAATTTTTATTTCGAGAATTTATTAAGTGTAAGTAAATATGCCTATGCTTATTTTTACAAGTTCCCCTAATTTATTTAGGGGGAAATATTTATGCTTTAAAGATAAAGAACATTCTACTAAGCAACTTTTTTAAATTTGAGTGTGTCGGACACTGACACATTTCGACACGCGTCTGACACGTGGTCAACATTTTGGGACACGCAGTTAACGCTCCGACACGTTTTTTTGACATGCAGTCAACTTTTTTTGACACGCGGTCAACGTTTCGACATTTTTGTTTTAGTCTAAATTTTATTATTATTATTATTATTATTTTGGTATCCTATTTTATTTTATTAACTAAACATAAAAAAGATATTTATAAATCAATTTTTTTTGTTATGAAATTTGACATGAAAAATTAACAAGGTACGAATTTTTATTTTTATTTATGTTATGAAATTTGAATATTTAATTGTTTATATGACTTATTATGGACTGTTATATGTATTAAATATAAATTATATTATATATATTAAAAATATTATTTAATATCAAAACGTGTCGAAATATAATATTTTTTAGAATTAACATGTCGGCGTGTCAGTGTCGATTCATCATCTTGTGTCAGTGTCGATTCATCATACGTCTCTACCACAGAAAAAAAAAATTAAAGAGAGAAAAAGCTTGTTTGGTTGAGAGAGAAAAATATGATAGGATGCACTCCTAATTTTGTCTCAGTCATAGATAATGTTCTTGGCTATTAAAGCAAAAATATTTTTCCATTTATTTATGATTGCCATTTGGCAATTGGAACCGAGCTTCTAAAACGGAGGAATGCTCTGCTCGTCCCTGAAAAAGTTTTCAGGATCAACTCTAGCTTTCACTACTGCAAGCCTTTCAAAATTATTGTTGAAATATTTCAAACCCCATGACTTTGCTTCTTCATAGCTTGAGTTTCCTCTGTTCACACCCAAATCAAGGTCCCTATAATTCAAATATGCTTGTCTTGGCGACTTTGACACATATGGTGCCATGTATGCATATAGTCTTCTTATCCAATCTATATGCTTTGGCGTTTCTTCATTTGAAACCAAATTTACAAAATATTGGATTCCATATAAGTTCTCCTTTCTATGTGGGAATGGAGTTTCTGATTCTGAAATCTCACTCATTATTCCACCATATGGAGTTATGGTCAAGAATGGTGAGTCCTCCAAAAGTAACATCTTCCAAAGCCCTTCTAAGCCAAGTAATGGAATAGGTTCCTTCACATAGTCAGATTTTGCTTTGAAACTTGAGGATGTTTTGTTTCTCACAAGCAAGACCTCCAAGGATTCATCTATTGAATAACCTGCAAAATAAAGAACAGATTGAATCCATGTCATCTGAGTGAAGTTATTGTGCTGCAAACCCAATTCTGGAAACCTATTTTGCATCAAAGGAAGGAGTTCCTCAGCTGTTCCAAGATACAATCCTGTGAAAGAAACTCTTACAGTTTTTCCTCCATGGGAAACTACTGAATTAGCAACTCCCAAAACTGTGTGCACAAAAAGTTCTGCAGGAAGCTTGGGAGCAATGGTTTGCCACTTGTGGAAAAGGCTACTAGCACCTTGATCAAGGGTCCTTGAGACATCAAAAATTGTCACTGTTGAAGGAACAGGTACAAGCTTGATTTTCCATGCAGTAATGACTCCAAAGCTTGACCCTCCCCCTCCTCTTATGGCCCAAAAGAGGTCTTCCCCCATGAGTGTTCTATTCAGTATCTTCCCATTAACATCTACCATTTGAGCATCAATTACATTATCAGATGCTAGACCATATTTTCTAAAAATGGTACCAAATCCACCACCACTGAAGTGTCCTCCAACACCAATTGTAGAGCAACTACCAGCTGGGAAGCCATGGACCTTACTTATATTTGCAATTGCATAATAGAGTTCTCCAAGGGTAGCACCTGATTGAACCCATGCACTTTCTTCTTTGATGTTAATGCTTATGGACCTAAGGTTAATGAGATCAATGATCAAGAATGGAACATGAGAGACATAAGAAAGGCCCTCATAGTCATGCCCCCCACTTCGAATCCTTACTTGCAAGTTGTTTTTCTTTGAGCAGAGAAGTGCTAATTGGATTTGGAATAGATTATGTGGAGTAACAATAAGGTCTGGTTTTGGGACAGAACTGACCAAGAATCTTGAGTTTCTTATAGAAGACTCTAAAAGGGGTTCATAAGAAGAATTGCTTTTGGTGAATATTACTCCTGAAGTTGTGTTATGTCCTAAAGCTGATTGAAAACATAGAAGGAAACCATTCTCAAGGCCAACAGCAGAAGTAGAAGTTGTAGGGAAAATTGAGATGAAAATGGTGACAGATATGAACACTAATTTTACTATTGAAGTGGTCATTTTTTGTCTCCCTACTTATCTTTTCAGTGGATGGGGAACTCATGCTGTATTTATAGCCAATTCATGCTACTACTCTTGCTTCATTTTTTAATTTCTACCAAGATTCAAAACAAGAAATATTTTAAATGGACTTAAATGTGCAAACCTAAAATTATAAATTTTCAAAATAGTCAATGTGTGAATAAATATGTTTAAAGGGGAAGGTTATACTTACAACCTATCTTCGCTTACAGCTTCTTACAACTATATCTTAACCGTTGATTTTCGCTAATCACCAGTTATCATTTATTGTGAATTAATAATTAATTAATAAAATTAATTTGGAAAAATCTTAACCGTTGATTGACGGAAATCAACGGTTAAGATATAGTTGTAAGAAGTTGTAAACGAAAATATGTTGTAAGTATAACATTCCTCATGCTTAAATATGCAAAATTAAATTATAAATTTTAAAATAGTCAATGTGTGATTAAATGAACTTAAATGTACAAACTTAAATTATAAATTTTTAAAATAGTCAATGTGTGAATGAACTTAAATGTTCAAACTTCAATTATAAATTTTCAAAATAGTCAATGTCTGTTTTTTTTTTTTTTTTTTTGGTATGCAGTCAATGTCTGATTAAATATGCTTAAATATGCAAACTTAAATTATAAAATTTTAAAATAGTCAATGTGTGAGTAAATGAATTTAAATGTGCAAATTTAAATTATAAATTTTAAAAATATGAGAATAAATGATTAAATATTATAATAATAAGGCTTCTTTACTGCAAAATAAATAAAAATAAAAAAATCTATAAAACCTTTATTTTCTTTCTCCAAATGCCAATATATATATATATATATATATATATATATATATATATATATATAATACTTTACATTTACATTTTTAGCCATTCTCAAATTGTCTATCACGTGAACATTAAGTGCTGAAGTGATTTCAATTAAAAATATAGCCTTCACCAAAAATAAATAAACAAATAAATAAATTCATCCCCCTTTGTTATTTATCATTTTACGATGGTGTTACATGTAACACCCTGTCGGCCACCGTTGTGCTAACTTAATTTATAGGAATAAAAGCGCTATTTATTGAAATAAATAAACGAAATACTTATTTAAAAGTATCACTATAGCTTACCAGTTAGCATCAACTACGTGACTTAACTTTTCCTTTCAAATTTTTTTTATATAATTGTCTTCATTTATTATTTTAAATTCGATTCTATACAATCTCATAACTATACAGAATCTTTACTTGACTTACACAATCGCAACAATGATCAAATGTCTCTCCAAATATAATAACAAGTATTATTTCTGACAAAATCATGGACAACATAAAGACTGTAAATTTGACTAATCCAAGGATCATACTCCCACAACAAACATAATACCTGATACACAACAATTCCAATTCTATTTTAATATATAAACTAACAATACAAATGGCTTCATGCCATTTCTATTAATATTACACACTAGTCATGCTATTCCAATATATATATATATATATATATATATATATATGCAGGATCTTTTGACACCAGTGTTAAATTTTAAATTTGACACCTCACATGGGAGCCATTAGATCGAAAAAGATCAACGGTGTCACATGCTTGCAAATCATAGGCGTTGATCTTTTTTGATCTAACAGCTCTCAGATGAGGTATCAAATTTGAAATTTGACACTGGTATCAAATGATCTTACCTTATATATATATATATATATATATATATATATATATATATATGTATGTATATATATAGTTCCCAAAACAAACATCTATCTGTCTAACTACTTCATGCAATGCTCTAATCCCCACATACAGACTTCCTGCCTAAGGATCTTTCACCAACATCAGAGTACCTAAAATTTGTTTCCCAAACGGGTGAGATTCAACTATCTCAGTAAGCTCGAGGTTTATGGAGAAGTCTCCACCCACCAGTTCCCTTTCTGTATGACATGTTAAATTCCAAAACATAGATAACAACATACAGTTTCTTAATAATACAGTTAGATATTATACAACATCAAACAATTATACTCCTATAAAATATTTTACTTTTTGATTATTTTCTAAATCATTTCATATTTGTTCAGTAACTCCTATCAATCAAAATCATCAGCAACACCAAATACCTATAATAATCAGAATGATTAGAAATTAACACTAATCAAATCAATCAGTAATTTATAATATACTGAACCACCCAAAAATCGAATACGCTCATAGTAATAACTAATTGTATTCCACCAGAGGTCACTCATTATCTAGATGCTCTCAACTTGTACGACCAAAATACTCGTTGGTCTCGTAATGGAATATATATATATATATATATATATATATATATATATATATAAAAGATATTATTATAAGGAGTGAGCTCAAACTAAAATATAAAGAGATTTGGAAAAATTATAAGTCTTGGATAATTACTTCATGGGCTTAATTACCTTATAGAAGATTTCCCATTTATATATATATACATACATATATATATATATGTATATTGGCTTTACTCGTTTATCTAGTTGCTTGAGATAACTTTATCTCCAGCTACTAAATCATAATTGTACAAAGATGGATCAATGGTGATAAAGAAAGAGAGAGAAAAAGAGAATCATAACCATTCAAAGGTGAATCAATTAATATAAGAAAATAAATAAACAAAACGATGTAATTTTTGAGTGGACGGAGATAAATATATCTCAAGCTGTTTGAGAAATATTTTTCTTATATATATATATATATATATATATATTGAACTCAACAACTACATCACCATGCACTATCTACTAGGACTAACCAATCACATCACAATATTTAGTGTATTTAGACTTATACGTTATCTTTTAATACTACATCAGATTAATCGCATCATAGCATCTCAAATGCTCACACCACTTTAACACAGTATACCAAATACTCATATCACACCAAACACAACACATCAAGTATGTAATCACTTAATTTTGTCCTCCCACAAAATATATATATATATAAAATATAAAAAATATAAAATAAAAATAAAATAAACACTGCTCCACGTGACCTCCATCCCTTCATCATCTTGACATGCCAGGTCCCACTTCCATCGCAGAACCCATAACCTGCATGCCCCATCCCTTAACCCATAAAGTGCATTAATTGCCCTATATCTGAAACCGCCATCCTTGGGTTAACCAACTATCAAACAATTGCTTGTCAATTCATTTTGTTGATCTCCATATACAACCCCACGTGATGTGTTTAGGAGGGCGTGGGAAGAGGATAAGAAGAGCAGGGGAGCCGTGTTCAGGGAGGTAAGGGAAATAATAAAAAATCAGCCCTCACTCTATAAATATCGAAGACCTTGATTGTGAAAAGGATTTTTTTATGGTGGATTGGTTGGAAAGTTTTCAGAAAGGAAAGGTAGTGCTAAAACAGAAATACTGAAAGAGAGAAATGAGGGATTCTTTGGAAGACAACAGATTCCTAAAACCCAAAGAATTTTTAGAGAAAGAAAGGAAAAGACTTAAAAAAAAAACAAAAACAAAAAAAATTTGAGGAGAGCTAACACCACTGTTGTTGCTGCCGCTGTCAAGCGCACCACCTCGCTCTACCATCTGTCTAGCATATCTCTTGTGATATTTTCCACTGTGAATGACCATTGCCACAAGGATCTTTGCCTTTGATACCCCCGCTCAGGTTCTTTTTCATTTGGGTTTAAAGTTTTCTTTTGGACTCATATTAAGCTTTAAAAGAATGATAAACCAATATAGAGTTCTATTGCTATCATGTTTCTGCCACCCTTTTTTAGACGTACTGTTTGAGCATTTACATAACCATTTGATTCATTTATCTAAGATGTCATAAACCTTGTTGGCTTTTAGGTACAGTAGCGAAAATATTCTAATGCTTTTAGTAGCTCACTAAACATACAAACCTGCGAGCTTATGTTTCTAGTGGAATATTTTAATATATTTTTTTTCATGGATCACTAGACATAAGATCTATAAGCATGCAGGATACTAATAACTAGTGGAGATATCTTGATAACAACATACACCATCTTGTTTTCTATGATTCCATTTATGTTCTCGTTAACTTTTATTTTATTTAAAGTTGCCTTATTATGAATTATATTATTAACGGCACACTAGCATTTTTTATTTATATTTTTTTTTCTTTCTTGTCCAGTAAATCACACTAACATCTCTTTATATCTTAAGTGTATAGTGCGCTACAATATCATTTTTTTATATAATATAATTAGACTTTATGAAAATTTATTAAAATAATACAATAACCTCAAGTTTATTATAAAAAGAGTTAACTTAGCCATGACGGTCTGTTAATTTCGTGTATATTTTTTTGATTCATTTTTTGTCGTGACGGCTTGGTGATTCAAAATTCATTCAAATCTATTTTAGAATAATTAAAATAGTAACATGAAATTTGTTTTAAAAGGATTAGCTGAGCCGTGACGGCTTGTTAGCCTTACATAACCCTTTTGATTCATTTTAGCCGTGACGGCTTGGTGATTCAAAATTTATCTAAAATTTGATATTGAAACTTAAAACATTAAGATTTTCAACAAAGGGATAATTTAACCGTGACGGTTTGTTAACCCCGTGTATTTTATTTTGACTCATTTTAGCCGTGACGGCTTGGTGATTCAAAATTCATTCAAAATTATCTTAAAATTCAAAATAATGAAAATAATAAACATGAAATTTAATTTATTAAAAAGGGATTAGCTGAGTTGAGACAACTTGTTAATCCTACAATTATCGTTTCAGATTATTTTAGCTACGACAGCTTGGTAATTCGAAACCTTCAAGCACCTTCCAATAAATTTTCTTTAAAATTACTTTCAAAAACTAAAATCAATCAACACACAAATATTTTCTACAGAACGACGTAGCTTTGAGTTCCCTATTGTACCGAGGGATACGTCGGAGCGGGACTCTTCCCGTCAAGCACAAAAATACATTTTCAAAATTAGTTTTCTTTTCCAACAGTCAATTTTATTTAATTTTTTAGGGTGAAATAAATATTTAAAATCTTATCAATAATTTGCACAATTGATATAAGGTAACCGTTTTTTTAACGGACGGTGTAGGGTGTTAATACCTTCCCTACTCGTAATCGACTCCCGAACCCATTTCTACTGTCAAAGACCAATTGTCTTTAAAAAAGGTTTTTCCAATGTTTTCCTAAATAAACTTTGGTGGCGACTCCATTGTTTTAACCATTCAATATTCTTTCGCCGTCACGTCGCGATACGGTTGCGACAGCTGGCGACTCCACTGGGGACTATTTCTGAGAGTCAAGCCTAATTTATTAATTGTGCAGATTATTCGTAAATTTTTATTTATCTATTTCACCAATCTTTTATTGTATTATTTTTTATATCGTTTGTGTAAGTATTTTTGTACATACGTTTGTCCAGTGTTGTTGATATATTTATAGCTGCATAAATAAATATGTATCGTGTTTGATTTTAACCTTATGATAGAAACCTCTATATATATTCTGCTTTGCTTCTGTTTTGCAGCTTTGAAATTTTAAATTATTTTAGGATGTACAGGTTTGTATGCTCCTTTCACACACCACACTCAGACGACTCACACACAATTATGAGTGGGGCCCTGTACCCGGGTCTGAGTGAAACATTGAGATAAGTAAGAGGTTGTGTAGTGGTATCCATTTTGGATGTACATCCTGTTTGGCTATCATGAAAACCTCAACTAGAGTGTGACTCTTTCAGAATATAGTCATTTTGGATGTACATCTTATTTGATTATTTTTTCCGAAATGAGATCTGAACTCTAGAGACCAATATAAAATCGTAGAGCCACCCATTGAGAGCTTTCACGAATTAGAAAAGCATATGCCCAACCCTTAGGCTTTCCTAATGTAGGACAATGGGAGTATGCTCTCTCTATCTTTATTACTATTTTTTTTCTTTCATGTTGCAACATCTAATCTTAACCATGAGCATTTAATGTCATGCACTCAGGAGGCATTTCACCTCCGGAACCTTAAGCACCTTGCCAAAGTATTATTGTACTTTTGATACTAGGCGTCATAATCTCGCCTCAAGGGTTCACAACCTGGCGAAGTTCATTCATGCATTTTCATCAACAAAAGAATCCTTTTATTTTCTAAATACCATTTGCATAGCATAAAATCTTGAAAATTTTGTCTTCAGCATCCACAACAAGCATATTTTACTTTAGCATTTGCATACTCATTATCTTGTCTTACTCAGTGAGAGAAAAATCAACAAAAAGAAAAATTGTTTCCACGGCACCCTTATAGGACTCGTGCTCAAGCCAAGATCATTGATGAACTAGAACGAGGGGAGCTGAGAGAAGATGTGAACCAGCTGAAAGTACAGATGGCTCAAATGCTGGAGATTCTGCAATCGTTGGAAAAGAGGAACACAGATGGGACCCCTTCAGCTGTAAATGACGAACAAGTAGCTACACCATCCCACCCACCTGGCTTTCCCCCAATTCCTATGCAGCTCCAAAGTTCCAACCCTCAAGGAGTACTAATGCCACTTACGGTATACCCAAATATTCCCATACAACCACCAATCACAAACCCACAAGAAGTCCATGTACCACTACTCCCTCCATACGGCCTACCTCCAGGATTTGTACCACCACAAGCCACTAATCCTCCAGATGGTAACACATCAACTCCTACCCTAAACCCTACTCAACCGCAAGGTCCTCACCCAAATTCAATCGAAAATCCACAAACAGAAACATTATTCCCTGTTAGTAGTGCACCGATGGTTCCACCTATCTTAAACACACAAAGTGTATCCCAACCACACTCCAATCCTGTATATGTGGCACCAAATAACCCTCATGGAGTTTCTCATGACACATCAAATAACTCTTCAATTGGAATTCTTCAATCTATGGGGAAATTGGAAGTTTTGGAAGAAAGGTTGAGAGCTATAGAAGGGGGAAGTAATTATGGCCTTGGAAACACATCTGAACTTTGTCTGGTTCCTAATGTTGTTATTCCCCCAAAATTTAAAGTACCTGATTTTGACAAGTATAAAGGGACCACTTGCCCAAAGAGTCATCTGACCATGTATTGTCGAAAGATGGCCTCATATGCCCAAGATGAGAATTTGTTGATCCATTTTTTCCAGGATAGCCTGACGGGGGCAGCTTCGAATTGGTACACGCACCTTGAGCGAGCACATATACGTTGTTGGAAAGATTTGGCTGATGCTTTCCTCAAGCAATACAAGTATAACATTGATATGGCTCCTGATAGACTGCAGCTACAGAATATGACAAAGAAAGATGTTGAGTCTTTTAAAGAATATGCTCAACGATGGAGAGAACTATCTGCACAAGTTGACCCCCCATTGTCAGAAAAGGAAATGGTTGCTACGTTCATCGATACCCTCCAATCATCGTTCTATGACCGGATGATCGGAAGCGTGTCATCAAATTTTTCTGACATTGTCATAATAGGAGAAAGGGTAGAAAACGGAATAAGGAGTGGCAAAATCACTCCTAATTCCATGGAGGCTGTTAATATGAAGAAACCTTCAACTGGGATAGGAAGAAAAAAAGAAGGAGAAACTCATGCTGTGACTTTCAATCAGCAAAGGTTTACGCAAGGCAAGCCTAACCCAACATATAGTAACCCTCAGCCAAGTTTCCAAACACCTTTCACTAATTACCCTGATGTGGCCAATACTTCACATACCCCATATCCCCAACCTTACCACTCAACAACACCCTACCACTCGCCACCCCCTTCCCAGCCACAAACATTTCCAACCGTACCATCACGACCACCTCAATCATGGGCTCAAAATTCAAATCCAAATCAAAGAAGAACCCCAAATAACCAAGAGAGGAAACCATTTAAATTTGACCCAATTCCCATGTCTTATACCGAGCTTTTACCACACCTCATCCAAAGTTCACTTGTTGTTCCATGTCCCCTGAAACCACTTGAGCCTCCTTACCCTAGAGGATTTGATGTGAATGCTAAATGTGATTATCATGCTGGAATTGTGGGCCATTCTACTGAAAATTGTAATGCTTTAAAGTTTAAGGTGCAGAATTTAATTGATGCCAAGTGGTTGAACTTTAAGGAAGATGCTCCTAATGTTGGCAATAACCCTTTGCCTAATCATGGAAGTTCTGGGGTCAATGTTGTTGAAGAGTTTTCAAATCAGCATCTTGTGAGAAAAGTGGCAGATATCAAAACTCCTCTAAAAACAATTTTCGAAGAGCTTTGCAAGTATGGGATGATACAAGCCCAAGTTAAAAAAGAGGAAATCCACGATGAAAGGATGATGTGTGGAATCCATCCAAATATAGGGCATTCCATTGCAGATTGCGACGAATTTAAGCAAATTCTTCAGGATTTGATAGACATGCAATTTGTGCAAATTGGCTGCCAACATGAGGATAGTGATGTAAATATGGTTAAGGAGCAAGAAGATCAGGTGGATGTGGGTACCCAAGTTCCGATGGTGATCCCGCCAACTATTGAGCATACTACCTCCATCCAAAAACCACTGGTAGTTCATTACACAAGAAACTCATCCATGCAAACAACATGCAGCCCAAAGCCAATTACCATTCAAGTACCAACCCCTTTTGCCTACAAGGACACCAAAGTTGTGCCATGGAAGTATGGTGTGCAGGTTCTTACTAGCAACCCTCAGAATGATATATTGCCAGCGTCTTCTAGTACAGGCTTTTCTATTGTCACAAATGTTTCTGGAATTGGTGGGATGACCCGAAGTGGTCGTATTTATAACCCCGAAGAGCTTCGAAATGATTCAGCCAAGGAAGTAATGAAAGAAGACAGAAGGAAGAACAAAGATGGAAGTATTTATGGAGAAAAAGAAGTTAGTCCAGATGAGCGCAAGAAAGCGGTAACTAATGAAGAAGCCTGTGAGTTTTTGAAGTTCATAAGACAAAGTGAATATAAAGTGGTAGAACAATTGAATCACACTCCGGCAAAAATATCTCTCCTGTCTTTATTGTTGAACTCTGAACCGCACAGAAAGGTATTAATGAAGGTATTGAATGAAGCTCATGTTGCCCATGACATCGCGGTGGACAAGTTGGATGGAATTGTCGGTAACATTGTTGCTGATAATTATGTCAGTTTTACTGATGATGAAATACCTGCGGATGGAAGGGGGCATAATAGAGCATTGCATATTTCTGTGAAATGTCAAGATCATGCTATGGCTAAAGTACTTATTGACAACGGATCCTCTTTGAATGTAATGCCACTATCAACACTATCAAAGCTGCCTTTCGATATGTCATACATGAGACCAAGTACTATGATAGTGAGAGCTTTCGATGGTACTAGAAGAGAAGTGATTGGGGAAATTGACATTCCGATCCAGATTGGCCCATGTACTTTTGAAATCACCTTCCAAGTGATGGACATTATGCCAGCCTATAGTTGTCTCTTGGGGCGACCTTGGATTCACTCTGCGGGAGTTGTGCCCTCCACATTGCACCAAAAGTTGAAGTTCATAGTAGACAACAAGTTGGTAATTGTTTCAGGTGAAGAAGATTTGTTGGTGAGTAAAACATCATCAAACCCTTATATTGAAGCTGCAGAGGAGGCCCTTGAAACTTCTTTCCAAGCACTTGAGATTGCTAACACCACCTATGTAGGGGAAGGAGCACAAGTTATAAAGCCAACACCATCTAATGCATCATTAATGGTGGCTAAACTTATGCTCGAAGGAGGTTGTTTGTATGGGCACGGGCTAGGGAAAAATGGAGAAGGCATTGCTGAGCCGCTACAACTGTGTGAGAATAAAAACAGATTTGGGTTGGGATACAGACCACTAGAGCGGATAAAAGAAGAGTCATGGAAGATAAGAAGGAAAGAAGGATAGCTCTGATATTCGGCAAAGTTTCCGAAGTGCTGGACTGGTGTTTTTCGATCAAGTGGCTGCTATTGAAAATGATCATCAAGGTAGGGATCCAAGAACTGAGGGGGTTCCCATTTGTTATATTCAGCAAAGTTTCCGAAGTGCTGGACTGGTGTTTTTGGATCAAGTGGCTGCTATTGAAGATGATCATCCTGGCAATGGCAATATTGACTTGGTATATCCATGTTCTTCGGATACAGAGCTTGGCAATTGGGAGGTCGTCGAGTTACCCGTGATCTTAGATTCAAAGTAATTTGTAATGCTAATCCTATTGCTCTGCCCAAGGCTTTAGGAATACTTTTTGTAACTCAGTATTTGTTATCAATAAATGCATTTCCTTCAATTTATCCTTGTTTCTTTATCTTGCACCTGGCCAC